GCTGCTGCTGCTGCTGCTGCTGCTGCAGACGCAGCACACGGGGCCTGTGAGCCGCCGCTTCCACTCTTTGGCGCTGCTGGGGGGGCAGCGGCTGCTGGTGTTTGGCGGCTGCGGAGTCTCGAGGCCGAAGGACCCGATGGGGCTTTATGTCTTGGACTTGAACGCATGCAGGTGGCGGAGGCCGATGTACGAGGGTGAGCAGCAGCAGCAGCAGCAGCAGCGCAGCAGCAGCAGCAGCAGCAGCAGCGGCAGCGGCAGCAGCGGCAGCGGCGGCGCGCGGGGGGCTTGCGGCGGGGTTTTTGGGGCTTTTGCTGCTGCACAACGCAGGAGAAGCAGCATTTCATTCAAATTATTTGTTTAAATGGACTTTATTTTGCATGCATGCGGTCGCGGTGCATGCATGCGTTCGCGGTGCATGCATGCGCGTCGGGTGTATGTACACTGCGCGCGGCATACCATGCAGCTGCAAAGCAGATGAAAGTGAAGATTGCTTTTCAGAAAATAGTAAATGAATGTTTTAATTTCCTTATTTTGCATTTATTATAAATAAATGTTTTGTTTTTTTTAGTTTGGATTCATTAATCCGCGTTTCGCCTCCAGCAGCAAAAAATTCACGGCTTTTTGTGCAGCAGCAGCAACAGCAGCAGCAGCAAAAAAGATGAAAAGATTAAAAAAAAAAGACAATAAGTCGTTCGCGGATATTAGAGATTGCTTGTTTAAAATAAATAAAAAGCTTTCAGAGTGGCGATTAAGTTCGAAAAATGAATTAAATTCAACTTGCATGCGCTGCTGCTGCTGCTGCTGCTGCTGCTGCTGCTGCTCCGCAGGCTCTCTTTCTCTCTCCGCACACAGCGAAGCTGTTCTCCATGACAAATTAATTGCCTTTGGAGGCGCAGCACTAGTCTCCAAAACCCCAAACCCTCAGCGTGAGACACGCTAGGGTTTAGGGTTTAGGGTTTAGGGTTTAGGGTTTAGGGGCATGTGGCATTCGGGTTTGGATTTTGTCACTTTTTCAATTTGGAATTAAAAAGAATTTAAATTCTGCAGCAGTACTTTAGAAGCTTTGCATGCACGGAGTGTACATACACCCGAAAACCCCTCCAGCTGCAGCTGCTGTTGCCGCTCCTCAGCTGCCCCGGAGGTTCGCGACGCGCCCAGCAGCAGCAGCAGCAGCAGCAGCAACAGCAACAGCAACAGCGGCACCAGCAGCACCGCCACCAGCAGCAGCAGCAGCAGCAGCAGCAGCAGCAGCAGCAGCAGCAGCAGCAGCAGCTTGAGTCGGCGTTTGCTGCTGCTGTCAGTGTTGGAAATTAAAGAAGGGCCTTCCAGCGCGGACTGCAGATTCAAACTTGTCACTGTGGGCGACTCCGGCGTGGGCAAGTCTTGCCTCCTCATGCGCTTCGTCCAGGTGCCCTAGGGTTTAGGGTTTAGGGTTTAGGGTTTAGGGTTTGGGGTTTAGGGTTTAGGGTTTAGGGTTTAGGGTTTAGGGTCTAGGGTTTGGGGTGTGGGGCTTCGGGTTTAGGGTTTGAGTTTGGGGTTTAGGGTTTAGAGTTTAGGGTTTGGGATTTAGAGGCGCATCAGGGAGCGGGCTGAAGGGTTTAGGGTTTAGGGTTTAGGGTTTAGGGGTGATTCTGGGTCCGTTTGAACGGGAATTTTCTCGCATTTTCCGGGCTTCACCCCCCTTCGCGCCTCCGCTGCTGCTGCTGCTGCTGCTGCTGGTGCTGCTGCTGCTGCTGCAGGACGAGTTTGCGTGCAGCCACGAGCCGACGGTGGGTGTGGACTTCCGTGCTGCAGCAGCAGTTGCTGGGGGCAGAGTTTGTTTGCTGCAGCTGTGGGACACAGCAGGCCAGGAGCGCTTCAGCGGCTTGACAGCAAATTACTACAGAAGAGCTGATGCTTTTCTTCTTGTCTTCGATGCTGCCAACAGACAGTCTTTTCTCCACCTCAACCGATGGGTCCAGCAGGTCTGCTGCTGCTGCTGCTGCTGCTGCTGCTGCTGCTGCTGCTGCTGGGGGTGGTGGGCGTGGCGGCGCTGGTTCTGGGGATGGTTTTGGTGGTGGTGGTGCTGCCGCTGCTGCTGCTGCTGCTGCTGTGCTGCTGCTGCTGCTGTTGGTGGTAGTTTTGGGGGTGGGGGCGGTGGTGCTGCTGCTGCTGCTGTGCTGCTGCTGCTGATGATGGTGACGGCTTTGGTGCTGGGGGTGGTGGTGGTGCTGCTGCTGTGCTGCTGCTGTTGCAGCGCTGCTGCTGCTGCTGTTGCTGCTGCTGCTGCTATTGCTGCTGCTCGTGCTGTTGTCCGCTTTTCTTCTATTTGCCCTCCACTGATCCCAAGAAGAGAGCTTGGGTTCTTTTAAAGCGCATTTTAAATTGAATTATCTATTTATTTATTTGTTTGTTTATTATTTGTTATTTATTATTTATTTATTTATTTTTAATTATTTGTTAGATAAGAGAGCACCACGCGTTGGGCCCTTCGGCCTTTCTGATGGTGATAGCCAACAAAATGGACTTGGAAGAAAAACTTGAAGTTTCAGAAGAAGAGGCCAGAGCTTTTGCTGCTTCCATTGGGGCTGCATGCGCATGCACCTCCGCCAAGGTTCGCCTTTAAACCCCCTTTTAGGGTTTCCTAATCGCCGTTTTAGGGTTTTCGAATCGCCGCTTTTTGGGGCTTCTGAATCGCCTTTTAGGGGTTTTTGAATCGCCTTTTTAATGCTTTTAAATCATTTTTTACGGTTTTGGAATCTCCTCTTTAGGGTTTTTTAATCGCTGTTTTAGGGTTTTTGAGCTACTTTTTGAGGGTTTATGTGCGCTTTAATATGAGGGCTTTTAGACGCCTTTCTGGGGTTTTCTATTCGCCATTTTAGGGTTTCTGATTGGGGCTTTGGTTCG